ACATGTTAGTTTTGGTGGTGTTGTAATTTCATCTATGAATATGATTAACTTCATAATGTTCAATGATTATAAAAGATAATGCAATTGAAAGCTATCCATTTAAGCTTGTATATATTATGCCTCATTTTTTTATGATTGTTGTAAATATCAAAACTTTGTATTGTATGCATTTATGTTTTTAATTAAATATCTCTTATAGGTAGTAAATGTCTTCAAAGAAAAATTCTCCATTTGTAAATATTTGTATCTATTGATTTTTGATATCACATGTCTTTATTTTGTTCTGCTTTTGTTCTTTTCAATTTCATGTTTTTCAATTACATCACATGTATATTGTTAAAACTGCCAATATAGATATAGTGTAAAAAAAAAAAATATTTAAAAAAAAAATTAGCTTTGAGGACAAAGCTTTTTCAGGCAAGGGGGGAGATTGTTATAGTTAGTTTTAAATTCTATGAATTCTAAAACTTTAATGTAACAGGTTATATTATATGAATTTTAATTCATTACAATTTGACATTTTAAATTTGCTTAAATTTTTATGAAATTAATTTCCTTTTTCTTAATTTCAATTTTGTTTAATTTCATCAAGTTTTCTTAAAATAATTTCAATTTTTATTTTTCTGTATCACAAAAAAATATACGCTTTCTTGAATCCATTAAATGTGGAATTTGAGCAATCTGTCACCTTTCGGAAATCAATTTACTCATGACAGATTGCAAAACAATTATTTCATCTACTAAATAAACTGTAAAATTCTTTTTTATTTCGGCCTTTTTGTTGGCAAATTCTTGGCGAGATCGGCTTGACACTTTGCTATGACACAGGCATTAAATTATTTTTACGTTTTAGAATCTTGTTTATTTTGTTTCGGCTTCACCTAATCTTCCTATTGTTAAAAAAACTCAAAACGGAAATTTAGCTAATTGACTTCATCACCTTTCAGCTCTTTGATAATGTAAGTAATCAGTGTCAAGCCTATCAAAAGAAATTGCCGACTTACCTGTAGTAATTTTTGTAACAAGCTTCCTGATTGGTCAAGAGTTCAATTCCGATGTAGAGTCCGGATAGATTGTGAAATTAGCAAATTCACTTTCTATCTGCTGACTCTACAATAAACATCATTGAACTTAATCGGAATTGTTTCTCTTTGCCAATTTAGGTAAGCTTGTGTTATTTTATTTGAAAGTTAAAGATTAGATTTAATTTCATTATAATTATTTTTAATTAATATTTTAATGATTTCCTATAAAGTATTTTTGATACAGAATTAGGATAAATTACTTTGTTCATTTGGCTTACACTTCATTTTTAAATATCTGAAATGTTTTATTAATTTCAAATTGCTTGTTTCATTTAATGTTCAAATAATGTTTAAAATTATATAATTACATTATTAGCAATCATTTCTTTGTTGAATTATTCACGAAATAAGGTTTTTGGAATTTTTCTATTTTTATAAATTTTTGGCAATTTAATTTTACCGCTTATGAATTATGTTCCCTGTTCGGAACTCTCTAGTCAGAGAAGGTAACTAAATTTTCCCGAAGTTTTGTAAACATTGTCTTTGGAGTCAAATGTTTGTAAGTTTTCTGATTTTATTGTCTACTTTTGATTTTTAACTTTTGTAACTGTAAAAACTTTGGTAAGCGCTATGCATGACTGATTTCACGTAACCGATCGATCTTTATTTGTTGTTTAGTAATCGTACCTTCTCTTAGCGGGTTTCGCTACAGGATGTTTCAAAAGTTATTTACTTATCTGACATTGTTTATTCGATAATTACTTGTACCTGTTTATTGCGATTTTTTTTTTGTGTAACAACTTTTATAAAAATTCACTTTCTATCTGCTGACTCTACAATAAACATCATTGAACTTAATCGGAATTGTTTCTCTTTGCCAATTTAGCATTACAGTAGAAAAAGCGAGTAGCTATCCTACCAGGCTAATTTCCCCAAACTTCACAGACGAAAAAGTCACTGTGAAATATATATAGTGCAAAAATAAAATTATTATTCATTTATGACCAGGTACTGTATAATGACTTTTAACTCTTACATAAGAGCCGTAGCACGCATAGTCAGAGAATTTCTTCAAAATCGCTATAATAAAAGTATTAAATACCGTAAACTCATATCAGGCAAAAAATGGTTGTTATATGTCATGTTTATCATGGCAACAAGCACAAGAGTCTGAAAAAATAGCATTTTTAACCATGTTCAGATTCCCATTATTAACGTTTGCAGTTCTGCAGAAAAGTGACAATGACTGTTTTCAAAGGTCAAATACTTGATGTCTTATACGCATCATAAAAATATTTGGGAAATCAAGTACGTGCATTAAATATATTACCATGAATACTTTGTATTGAAAAGAAGCAGTTTTGTCTATTCATTTGATTAGTCATGCAGTTAAAAAAATAAAATCAATGAAAAGTTATAATGCAAATAAATAATGGAGAAATATCCTTGAAACATATTTTACTAAAGAATATTATATTTTTTTTTTCATTGGCTGGCAATGGTTGCTGTGGTTATAATATCAAAAAGTTATTTTAAATTAACTGGCTTTATGTTTTCACATATTTCTATCTTTTAACAGAGCTACTGAGATGTACTGTGCTACACCTTATTCTAGAATTGATGTAAATCGGATGTGGATTCTAAAAACTCCAAAGAACTTTTAGAAAACTCTGAATTGCCATATTATTAAAAAATTAATAACATCAGTACATACGACTTTTCTACTGTTTATACAATCATTCCTCACGATAACTTAAAAATTAGCTTTATTAAGCTTTGCAACAGCTTCCTTTAAAAACATTTAATTTATACTAAGCATTGCCTTGTTTTATGAAGGAAAAATTCATTTTAATCGGAAAACTTTATTTCAAAGCTTATGGTGTTTTAACCCTTGGCCGTACACACTATCAGAAACCTTTGAAGACCGCGATTTTTACAAAAAAATTAAATTCAAACAACCTAAATCAAACTATTCTAATTTGGACTTTCATAACAAATATTTTTATAAACAATAAGTATATTAGGGTTCATTCGCTTTGAAAAAAACGTCATTGTCCACAATCTTTATGGACAACCCTCGTACAAACATGCTCATTTTGAAGTCACAATAGTCGCCACTTGTCAAAATGTTATCTTTTTTTAACCAGAATTCATGTAACCGTAAGAATTTTACTTAATACGTCAGTTTAAAAAAACAAAAACAAAAACAAAACCCTACAGTGGCTCTGTGTTTATAATTTTCTGGCAGCCATACACGGAGGTCTGGACGATTTCTTTATAAGAATGTACAGGTAGGCGAACTCGACTCACTTATGAAAGATAACTCGTGTTTATGAAAGATAACTCGTGTTCGTCTACCTGTACATTGTACCATCTAGCGTTAACTTTATATGGAAATCAGGAATACAAAGGGACAGCAAAGTGGAAAATCCCCTCAAAAAAGAGAACATTTACGTACAACACACTCATCATTCACATAAAAAGTAAAAAGACAGTCTTACAAAATTCTTATCATTTCTATAGTTTTCTCCACAATCGATTCCTGATTCAATGTACACAGGAAAAGAATATCGTTCAATATCAATAAAAATGTACAATTTATTGTCATTAATGCAATCACAAAACACTTTTTAGTAAGAATTCAATTCAATTAAAAGAGAAAGAAGGAGAAATCCATTTTCAATAGAGTCATCTTTTTCTCACAGCTGGGTCTTTAATCGACCTATGGAGTGTTTGAGCAGTCAGAACGTACTGGAAAGAGCCGAAATAATGAGAATAATAATTTAAATGTGTATATGGTTTATTCAATTCCCTTATAGCAAAAGATAACAAATCTCGAAAACTTTTAAAATTTATGATATATTTCGATCCCGCTGATACGATGTACTTCCATTAAGCAGTGAAATTTTAGAGGAAAGAATTAGTGATTCTGGAACCAGTTGTTTAAAAGTTATGGCCAAGGCTAAAGGTTAAATTTTGGTTAAAGATAGCTCCTAAATTATTGCACGTACAAATAGGTTTTCTCCCGAGATAAAAATGTTCCCGAAAGATATTTGGGGAATATTGAAACTTTGCATATCCGTTGTATTTCTAGAGAGATCGTTTAAGGTTATTTTTTTATTTCTATTTTATCTATTGAGTGGGGGGAGTTATGAAAAATGCTTGTTTTTTTAAACATTCACTTGAATCTGGAGTACAAAAAATCTTTACAACGTTCTTCACCTCCATATAGGGAAATCGTCCAAACCGGTTTATTAATCCGTGCTCGAACCATGTAACTACCAAATTTTTGGGGTCGCCCGCGTGGCGCAGTGGTTACAGCGTTCGCTCTAGAGTTCGCGGAGTAAGGAGTTGATCCTTACGTTGCGGGTTCGAATCCCTCTGTGGAACGTGGAGACCGGTCCTTCAGATGAGAACGTATAAACAGAGGTCCCGTGTCGCAATAGCTGCCGGCAGAAAAAGATCCCTCACTGCTCAATGGCCCTAAGTGCCGAGTATAGGTCAAAATTTGCAGCTCTCCACCGACAAGAGGTAACGTCTCCTTATGAGTGAAATATTCTCGAGAGGGACGTTAAACAATAAACAAACAAACAAAACCAAATTTTTTGTAATTCATTTGAATGTCTCAATCGGTGTCACAAATAAGGTATATTAAAACTATCTTTTACTCTTTAATTTTATGGATTTAATTTATCTGAGAGCATCAAAACTTCTGTTATTGTTAAACTTGGTAAACTTTGCAACTCGAAAAATTAAAAAGCTTCAAGCTGCTAGTTACTATCTCCTTAAGTTTCAGTTTTAACTGTGTCAAAAATATTAAATTAGGGTTAAAGAAAATGTTTTATTGAGAGAAAAAATATATTTTCAAGCAACATTTACATTATTCATTAAAAGTATATGCATAAATGCTGCTCCACTTTTTTTCATTGTGATAAATACATTGAATTCCTTCTATCAATCGAATATGAATGAAATTTAATTCGTTTGCTCCTTCATAGTAGTCACTATTTCCTGCTGATGCTCGGAAGGATTCGGCAAATTTGGTATATCTGTTCCTGATGAGCATGAGGTGCATCCGCTATCCCCATAATAATACAGGTGATCTAAATTTGTTGACAAATGGGGTTCTAAATATGGATTATCATCTGCAAAAGACAATTATGGTCTGACAATAATTTGCTGCAGCTTAATTACTTGAGAAATAAAAATACATGTTCTGATTTCAAAAAAAAAATGTTCAAATATTCTGACCTTAGCATATTCAATTTTCAAGAGCAAGTGCGATCATTTTAAAAACCAAGGCAGGTTACAGACAGATAAGTTGATGCTACAGGGATTTCAACAACACCGTTTGCAGTCAGTATTTCGTAAATTCTATGCTCGTTCCAATGGCCTTGGTTACAAATATAACCTATCATTGGATCGTATTTTGGCTGACGTATTTCATACCGAACAGTGATTGATCTAAAAAAAATCCACAAACAATACAAATATGTGAAGAGGGCATAAAACACGGACGCCCGTAAATTCCAGTGGTGGAATCAGGTGCCTAGGAGGAGTAAACATCCCCTGTTGACCGGTCACACACGCCGTGAGCCCTATATATTGATCAGGTAGACGGAGCTATCCAATACGATTCAGTATAAAAACAAAGGTTAGTTAACAATTTGTATGAAACAAGTCAGCCAAAATACGACCTAATATTAGGTTATATTTGCTAACAAGGTCATTATAACGACCATAAAATTTACGAAATGTTTCGGCAATTCGTAATATCTAATTAAAAAATATTTTTGATAGGTCCTGTAGGTATGCATTTTTCTGTTCTGAATTAAATTCTTTAAAATATATTTGGGAACTATTATGTTCGAACGGAAACATATGAAAAATCAACCTACACATAAGATTAGAGAACTTTTACATAAGAACGTGATAGGAGTAGAAATGTTGCACATTTTATGATCTCTTAGACTTTTAAAATTTGTTTTGTATTATGCATTTTTAATAAATATAATTTTATTCTCAATAACTTCTCAACTCAAAATTGCATACACCAAACATTGAAACTCATATCTGAAGAGTATCTTCTGGTTTTCTGAGCTGCAATGACCTTTAATTTCGTGGGGAAAGAAAAAGAGATTGCTTAAATTTTTCAACGCAAAAAATCGTTCATTGCTTTCTGCAATGGGAAATCATCTAAATTTTAGAATATTTAAGATTTTGTATAACTTTGATAGCAAATCCAACTTACCTACATTTATTTTTCGCCCATACATCTTGCAGAAGAGGACAATCATTATACCTAGTGCTAGTAAAGTCAATCCAAATAGTACTCCTAACGCCACTGTTGCTTTGGAAGACTGTGCCTCACTGAAGGAAAGTATCAAATATCAGACCAAAGATTATCAACAACAAATGACTCACATTTTAAATTTATTTCATCTTGGATTCTAAAAAACGAGGGTACATTTGATTGGCATTCCTCAGGAATCTGGGCGCACTTGCAAAATGAAAAATTCATTGATCTGTCACGTGTTTTTGCAGTTTAGAATGTTACAAATTTTGAACAGCAAATTGTAAAGATATCTTGGCATCAAATATCCTCATAACACGAAAGTGATGATTACGTTTACCTTGACAAATTATTGATTGAAGATGACCCTGTATATTGCATCAAACATTTACTGCATTCCTTTGGATTCGGACATTTAGAGGGCAGAACTTTAAAGGGGTCCTTAATGATTTTTTCATACACGGAGTAACCATCTTTATTCAATGTATATCGACCAATCTAAACCAAATTGATATGATAAGGTTAGATAAACATATTCTTTATTTCTGTGGAAATAGTGCTCATACTCTGTATTTCAATATTCTGTATATCAGAGAAGAACGACAACTCATTCTGTTCACTTACTTCAATAAATGTAAGTTGACTAGCATCTGTGGTTTTTCTCTGAACTTGGTATATCTTATATCCAATATTACCATCACCATTTTCGTTAAAAACTTTGGAAGGAATTCCGCTGTCATCAATCACGAGTTTTTCATTCTTTATCATATCGTAAACCTTTTGTGGAGAATCTCGGTACCTTTGACATAACGTAGAAGACTGACTACCACATAGTTCACCAAATGACTTATTTGTACCTTGTAGAAGAGAAAACATCGCATTGATAGCAAAGGCAGTCCATAGTTCTGGCTGATAGTCTTTGTCGTTGAATTCTTCCTTGAAATTCGCACACTGAGAAGCAGAAAGTTTGTTAAAGCTGCCCGGCAGGAAACAAGTATTTCTCTGTTCAAAGTACTCATTTGTCCATGGGTTCAAATCCTCACTTTTATTAGCTAGGGTATCATACAGGTATTTCTCGAATCTAGATGTTCCAATTGCAGGTTTCATTTGCAAAGAAAGAGATATTGTTCCCTCAAGATTGTTTTTTCCAGAAATGATATCCAAACGTGTTCCAAAGGCTTCAGAACCTATAAATAAAAATGTCCCTAAACTTAGTGTGTCATGTAACTTGGCCACAACATCCTTCAAGACATGACTTTTTAAAAACAAGAGAACAACGGTTGCATAAGGTGTCCTGTTAAGATCGTCGTTAATTTTAGAGTATTGATTCTCTTTTACCTCGATTTGATTTGCAATGCATATTTTAAAATCTTTGGCACTGTGCATGATTGCATCCCTTGCTCCTTCGCCATAAATTCCCTCGCTGTATAATATTTGAATGTATGAGGAATTCAATGTTTTTACTATATTTAACATTGCAACAGCCTGCTTGTCGTCAGGTGTGCAGGTGCGCAAAAAATATTTATAAGTGGATCTGTCACTCAAAATGGCTGCTGTAGAAGCGTAACTGATTTGTGGAAAATTAAAATCCTGTAAAATCAAAGAGCTTAATCGGCTTGTACTGCTACCATAGGCGGCTACGAACCCGAGAATGTTTTTTCGTACTTCTGAAAATTTCGTGCCGTCTTTGAAAACGTAATCCTCACTAAAAAATTGCAATAGTTTTCTTTGAATTAGGAGTGGTTGGTCACAACTATTAAATATTATGAAACCAATTTGTTTTCCGTGAAATAAGTTAGAAAAACTTCCAGTCTTTTTATTCGCAGACTCTACGGCAAACTTTATACCCTCTGCAAGTTCCCATCCATTTGCTGTTCGAATAACGCCACATTTCAGACGATCCGATGAATTTCTATTATGTATTGGAACCACAGCAACTACATATAGATTCCCTCTCCTAAACATTATTTCATTGGCTAGATTTAAATTTCGACATGAATCGCATTTTCTTCCTATGTTACACTGTGCTTTTGTTATGTTTGGCCATTTTGTCCCATGTGTATTTTCAAAATAATCACGGAGCAGTTGGGTTTCTAAAGCAAATGCTGATTCATTAAAGGTTGCGACCTAAAAGGAAATACATAAATACAAGTATATTGCTGGTATTTATAAATTTTTATGTGTTATTTTTTGTTTTGTTTTTCTTTTTTGTCTTGCTTTATCTTTTATTTTTCCTTTTCTTTCTTTTTTTGTGTGGACATGGACATCCTTAATGTAATGAATGGCATAGGGACACATTGTACTTCTGAACAACTTTTTAAAAAATGCATATGGAGGCATAATAAACCCATCTTAATCAGAGCTTTACAATAAAAGTATGTTAAGTTATTTATTTATTTATTTTGTTGTTGTTCTTTTTTTTAAATTTTATATCGCTTTTGGTTTGTTTTCCTTCTTTTCGATTACATAATCAATTTTAATATATAATATTACCGGTATCTTGTTTGTTAACTTTCGCAAAAATGATTGATTTTATTACATAAAAAGGGCAATTAAAATATTTCCCTATGATCAACTATTATAAGGAAGAAATGACATGATTTACAGGCGATATAGACTTTCATAGCATATTTATAGGTCAAGAATAATATTAATTAAAAAATTCAAACATAATTGTAGACTTATTGTTTAAATTATATATAATATTAAACAGTTTGAAATAATCTTCGAAAAGAGAAGTTATTAAAACCCTGACAAAAAACCATTTTGTTTTTTTAGTTTAAAAGCTTTCGAAAACATGATAAAAATTTAAGTTTGAATTTCTTTCAAAAAACTTCTGGTTGCATAAAGTCCTTGCACTATATGAAGCATCAAATTAATCAGAAAAATATTCAGCATACTAGTACTATGCATATTATGTAAGCAAAAGCACATTGTTACAGAAGATGAGTAAATTTATTCTGTTATCCAAATTCTAAAGCAATTTTTAAATACATTCTATTCATCCCTATATTCTTATTCTTTTAAGTAACTTACCAGCTCTAAACAAGTTCTTCCAAAATTTTCAATACAATTTTGGAATTGGTAAACTTCATACACTGGAACATTCCCAGTAATTTTTGCGTCAGGTCCCCCATTATAGGTAAATTTTAACGGTGTCCTAAAGGCATCTGGTAGTTCGTTCATATTTAACTGACAATTTTCCCCCTCTTCTAGCAACTCATATTTCCGTTGTTGCAATGTGATATTCAGTTCATCACAAATACCATTGCCTCCGCATATTTTCACCTGAAGATTTTTTAAAATTTTAGCAATCAACAAGGTAGATACAATGGCATAACCTTCAAATACATTTTCGCCAGTTACAGACTTTACACTTGACCAGGCAGGCATTGAACAAGATACGTTGAGAACATCACAAGGAACAAATTTCTTTATTACATTTTCCAGCCAGGGATTAGTCAATACTTCTTGATTCAAAACAGTTTTGTTTGTCAGAATATTCTTCCAATGATGTTGAAACTTTTCAAATTTAAGTACATGTGGACTTGTAAAGAAAGACCCTTTTGATATTGCATAATTGTTTAAAGTTTCCGTATCAATATCTGCTGTTCCTTCGGAAAATATTATCGAAAGCCGAAATCTAATTGTATCGCTAAGACTCTGGGCACTTGAAAGAAAAGCTTTTGCTGTACCTGTAGAGCCAAACATGATTATGCCTGATATCTGACTCTCAGGATGATATATCATCGACTCTAATTGAATCTTCAAGTTTTTGATATCTACAACCCCTGTCTCAACAGATACTGCTTGTGCGCTTGCGATACATATGCTGTTTTTCTTTGCTCGGATTTGTAAGGCCTCATAGTTTCCCCTTCCATACGTGTTGTTCTCATAAACAAAACCGATGTAGTTCCATTCCATTTTCTTTATGAGAGACATGATGACCTATAATAACATTATATAAAGAATATGAAATATCGAGATAACGAATAGTATTCAAGCTCAAAGACCATTTAAACAATACAAATCGGGAGCAGAGCAAACACGGACCTCCAAAAATGTCAGAGTTGGGATCAGGTACCATAAAGGAGTGAGCATCCCCTGCCGACCGGTCACACCCGCCGTGTGCTATTTGTCATGATCGGGAAAAAAGGAAAATTCGTTGACAATTCAGTGTGTAAATAATGGCCTAATAATTAGTATGAAAAACGTCAGTCAGCATTTGATTGAATGATAGGTTCTATTTGCTGACAAGGTCATAGTGTCGACTATAAAACTTGCTAAATGATGACTTCAAACGAGACTGTCTATATCACTGTTTCATCAACTTGTTTGTTTGTATAGCTTGCTTCGTTTTAGAGATTGTTCACAAGTAGAGCATTCTCTTTGGGTATCAAATCAACTGGGAGACAAGAACCTCATATGCAGGTGATAAGGTTACATTGTACATAAGTAAGGGAAGTTGAAGATTGAAAAATTGAAGTCATAAAGCTTTGTTGTTAGGTTACCATTAAAGTCTTTTTCTAGTCAAATATCCAAATATGAAATAGATATGTCAGACTCTGTGGTATCTTTTATTTCAAGCTCACTGAGATATATCGAATTGACTTATGAATGGAAGGAACTGTCGTTAATTGATAATACGTAGTCGATATATCTAAATGATGAGTTGAAAGCCACAAGAAGTGTTTTCTTCTTCTCATATAGAAGTTTTGAATAAATTCTGCTTCATATGAATACGAAAATAGGTCTGCAATAAGGGGGTGCAATTGGTATCCATGGGAATTCCAAAAGATTGTTGGAAGACCTGATTTCCAAAAACCACATAGATATTGTCAGAAACTCAAGCATCTTTTTAATATCCACTTCAGAGTACTTGTATCTACAGTCAGAATTTTTTTAACAAAATAATTTTGCAAATTTCAAACGCCTTGACATCTTTCTTATTTTCTAATTTTTGTATTTATATTTTTTCCATGAAAAACAATTTTTTTTTTTGCAGTCCATTTAATCGATCATAGGTTGATTGATCCACGTGTTCGAAGTAAATTGAAAACATGTCGTTGTCCAGTAAAAGTTGCTATTCATTCAACGATTGGTCAAATCCGATGTGCGCATTAATAAGAATAGCCATATAAGGCAATCAAAGGTTTGTCACTGTAGAAGACATTACACATTTTCTTTTACCAGCGTATTGGGCAATTTTGAAGAAATTGTCCCTACTGGGCTCCAATTTTCGCCGTAAATTATCACAGGAGCGAAGATGAAGTAGATAGTGATTTTTTTTACTCCCCTTCCTCCTTTCCTTTTTAAAATCATGAAAATCTTTCAGAAAGTACTGGAAACACATATTTCATAGGACATGTTTTAAAAGAAACAGACTATAGCAATTTCCTGTTTGCTGCCAATTATATTTATAAAACCGGATCTACCCTATAACCTTTGAATGGGCCAACCTACACTACGTGTCTTGAATTTAAATCACAATAACATTGGTAGGGGTGTTGGCGTTTTTAAGTATATGTATTTAATCTGATTTACACCACTACATGTAATACAGTACTCTTGAAAGAGGCTTGACAAAAAAACAAAAAACTGGAACCCGATGGAGTTTTGGAATCCATAAAAGTTATGATGAATTAATTAGAATTTCAAAAATTTAGAAATGTTAAAAATTTGAAACAAAAATTGTTTACTCTGCTACCATTTGTTATGAGATGATTTCTTGACAAATGGATAAAATGGAAGTATTACCGAGGTTTGCTTGGTATCATCAGGGATGACTCTAAGAATGTTTTGATATTTGGTTTTATCACTCAGAGCTGAGGCCGTCGTGGAAAAGAGGGTCTGAAGAATTAAACGGTTTTTTCCAAGAGAGCTTATGTATGAAGATGTGTCCACAGCCTCGAAGCTGTATTCCGGACCAACCAAGCCTATGCAAATACAATCAAGATATAGATGAATCTCATAAAATCTTTATTCATATTTAAATATATCTAATAAATTTAAGGTTCCAATTTTAAATAAATAATTTAAAATCAAAGCAGATTAGTAAATGAATTATCTCAATGAAGTTAATACTACATACCAATAATGGGTAATTGTCGACTTTTGACCAGATTCGTTGTCTGCTCAACAGCTTTCCCTTCAACGTTGCAGGTGGGATAGGCTTCTACACCTAAAAGTGATTCACTAGATCTTATCTCCTATTTAAATTATCAAATTTTGCATGGGATGTTATTAAGCATGTTGAATTATCATTTTTTACCAAGTGTTATCCCTGGAATGTAGTTGGCTTCATTTAGCATCTTAAGAGTCCATTTCACTGCCTCGAACGTGCGAACAGACATTGTGTCGATCTCATCCGTACATTCTCCATGTTTTGCCTGAAATATCTTAAACAAGCCCCCAATATGAAATTGCCCAGGTAATGTCGGAATCTTGTAAGGCATTGTTGTCGACAAAAGTGTAAGACAAAGAAATAAATGGTTTTTCCACTGGATCATCTTTGTATATACTGTAACAAAATAAAATAAAAAAAAATATCATATACTTAGTAGTAAATACACCGATTCTGCTCTCTGCGATACGGGTGACGTCACAATACCCCATATCAAGGACCGGTCCGAAAACCCATATCACGTATCGGACCGGCGTGCAAAAATCCATATCAAACCGGAAGTAACGTTTATATGAAGTTTAAAAGTTAATTAACTTGATTTTATTCAAATATTCATGGAAAATAATTCTTTAGTAAAATGTGTGGGCTTAATTTGTTTTCAAAGACGTAATATTGACGCTATTAAATTTAAAAAAAAAAAAAAAAAGGTCATAAACATGCACAAAACATTCTACAATAACTTTATGTTAACTCGCATATTTTAAACCATATCAGCCTCTCGGGCCTTCGGCCCTCGGGTTGATATGGGGCCACTCGGGCTGGTTTATTCCCCGAACGTCTACTCACTAAAACAACTATTTAATTATCACACTCAATTAAGAGGCCCTCTAAGGGGTTCAGGTAGAGTTTACCTGTGTTACCTTGATTTAACAAAGTACTCAAAATTAAATAATTTAATATTTACGGATAAAACTGTGTTCTAAAGCACAGATTTATTGATTAAATACTTGCTATAATTATGTACATATAATAAATATTTTTATCTAAAATACATTTAAAATTCGAAAGAGAAACATATCTGCACAATTTTTTAAAGACATTTAAATTAACAGATAACATGTGATGAATTATTTTCAAACATAACTTTTTTTAACCTAACACTTGGCACTTGAAGCATCACTTACACCACATTTTAAGCTTTGTTTAATCTATATTAAACATGGGGAACTTTTTTCACATCGCATTTGCAGGTCCATAGAACGAAGGGGGGGGGGGCATTTTTCTGAGCAAGGACTTTTCCTGTAGTATAGTCTATTCCTCTAGGTCTATTATGTAAATTTTCATTTAGATGCTGCCCCCTCTTACTTTCTGTTGCTGTAAGGTCGAGCGCTGGCGAATATTCCAGCACTTGAAAAAAAAAATCTACAGTTAGAGAAAGTCCACCCCTCCCCACACACGAACACACAAAACAGGATTTTCAAGGTATTTTTTTTTAATTTGTCAGATTTCTTTAGGAGGTTGCCCCTTCCCCACTGTTAAAATTCAATTTTTTTTTCTTCAAATAATCGTATCTTAAGCTTCTTGATAGGTTTTTACCAAAATAAATTACATGTATATTGTGATTTGAGTTTTATGATTCAATCTAACAAAGATTTGAAATTATTTATTGTTATAATATTTAAAATCAATGCTTTGTAACGGTGATACAAAACTAAATTAAATTAAAAGTATCTAAAGTAAAATTTATTTAACTCATTTAATACTTATATTGAAAAGAAAAATGACATATATGATCGATAGATTTTTCCTGTTTAAGAAAGAATTCTACTTACATGTTTACGGAAATTTTATTTAACTGATCTTTAAGACATCCCCTCTGAAATATGGCTTAAGTATGAAAAGATTGATATTAGTTTAAATTAATTTTTATCAATTTTTTTTTTTTGGGGGGGGGGGGGTTAGGAGAAAATGAAAAGATTGTTTTAATTGCAAATAAGATCCTTTAGAGTTTAGAGTTTGCCCTAAATAAATGGATAATAAAAATATTTAATAGAAAAAAAGTCAAGGAAAATCAGATAAGCTTTTTTTAATTTTTGCTAAAAAATTATTTATGAAAATAAAACACATTATTTTTAACATTTTTTTAAACTAATGGATAAAATCTTCAAGATATTTACATTTCCCCTGAAAAAAATCATGTAAAACAATAAATATTTTTATTATCAATCTTGTTTCAGAAGAGGATGCCTTAAAGATCGAAAAATTATTGTTGCTGTAGAATTCCTCCTTCAATAAATACAGGTAAGCTAGTTCATAAATGATTGTAGACTCTACCTGTACCCCTTAGAGGGCCCCTAATTGAGTGTGATAATTAGATGTCGGTTCAGTCCAGTAGACGTTCGGGGAACACACCGATATGACATATGATATGGATTCATATATGGATATATATATATAAGTCTAACACAATTCATTCCACAATGATTGTTTTAAGATCCATTGTACTTAAAACTGGGCTGTTTTTATATTTACTCGATAAAATCTATTTTTTTTTTTATAATAATGAGAAAAATGAAATTTTATACTTTATAAGCATTCTTGTTCTTATATTTACCAAATATTATTGTTGTTCCGTCAAAACCTACAGATATTTTAAAATTGGACAAAAACCGCTCTTCAATATCATTTCAAGCTCTTTTACCAAATAACATTCAACAAATAGATGTTCAATTGATTTAATGTCAGTCTTAGAAAAGCTGCGCTGCAAGCTGAGGACTCTTATATCTTAAAGTTACATAGTGAATCAATATCATGTGTTTCTTTTAAGACATTTGTATCATAAAGCTAAAGATTTATAAGAAGGAACAAGGCTAATTTTTGAGATCTCAACTGCACGGTAAAAGCAAGAAAAGACTGCAAAATATAAGTGCCGGAAAAATGATAATGTGCTTGAAGTAATTTGATCCACTTGGAATCTGAATGGATGGATCTTATCCAACTTGATTTTAATGCTAACATAAACTCAGAATAATCTACCATTCTAAGGTCACCATCTCTGTAGTCTTGAATAATAGTATTTCTTTTTATTTTATTGATTTCACTCCCCTTATTATTATTATAATTTTTAATGGTGGATTAGGTAAAGTAAGTATCTCTGTTTAGCGTCCACCCATCTTTCAAAAATCTACCTACCTATTCGCAAAAAACACACAAGCCAAAAAATAAAACAAAGACTTTATAGTCTTAAAAATGACGTCATTCAAAGCATTTGATTTCGTTAATCTATTTTTTTTTTTAGCAAAATCAAGGTATTAAATGCTTAAAATAAACATAATATAATATATTGTAGAAAAAGATTTACACAGAAATTGATATAATTAAAAGAATTTAAAAGATTTTGACCAGAATAATGAATTTTATGGCTTCTGATTTTGTTTGTTTTTTCTGCTAAGTGGTGTCAAAAACCAAGGCGCACGCAGACGCTAAACATAGAAAAAAAAACTTGGAATGGCCTTACATACCAAGGTTGGTTAATTGTCTTGGTTTCCACTGATTCAATATTTTTTAAATATCACTTAATTTTTGTTTGTTTATTGTTTAACGTCCCTCTCGAGAATTTTTCACTTATATGGAGACGCCACCACTTGCCGGTGGAGAGCTACAAATTTTGACCTATACTTGGCAATCAGGGCCATTGAGATGTGAGGGATCTTTTTCGTGCCAGCACTTACTGCAACACGGGACCTCGGTTTATACGGTCTCATCCTAAAGCTTAAGATCGGTGTCCACGTCCCACAGTGGGATTCGATCCTACGACGTAAGGATTGAGTCCTTACTCCGCGACTCTAGAGCGAACGTTCTAACCACTGCGCCACGCGGGCGACCACTTAATTTTTGGTATATCATTGAGACGAATCATGTTATTTAAAGCTTCAGAAAATATAATCCCTAAAAGATCAAACGTTGTGCTATTACTAAGTTGTCTAACTTCCATCTAGAATGATGATAAACAGCCTTTGATTTTTGTTACTGTCAATGCATATTATATTTTTAAAATTCATTCTAAACCCAAAGAAATTCGCAAAGTAGTCTAATTCTCTTAGAATTCAATCCATAGATTCAGGCGATCCTCAGGGGTTAGTTGTGTCTCGTCTCTGTATCGTGAACTTTGTACTCTTCACCGTCTATAGTTATACCTCTTGTATCTTTATTATTGCGATTTAAAATACTCAAAACTTCAGACCACAACAGGAAAAGATAGGGAGATAGAGGACCCCCTGCCAACAGCTCCTTTCTGGATAGATATAATTAGACATTATTCCATTCATTTTAACACAGGATTTAATATTGCTATAAAAAGTCTCTATCCAGGTTTTGATTGAAGATCCGAAATAAAAATAATCAAATATTTCATATATAAAATACCAGGAGATATTATCAAATACCTTTTCAAAATCTATAAGCAATAATAGGTCAGGTATTCGACTGAATGCTGTATAATCCATCATGTCATAAATCATTCTAATATTTTCTCCAATATATCTTTCTTTTATATATCCAGTTTGATCTGTATGAGACCTTTTTAATTCGCTCTGCTATACACCCAGATGCTAACTTATAAACAACATTTAAAAAGGCTGATGGGGCGTCATTTTTTGGAAAATTATCTTGGTTTTCCTGCTTTTGGTATACAAGTAATAATTCCTACTCTATTTGCAACTGAAAATTGCATTGATTCCTTTGCACTATTTATTGCTCTTGTCACAAATATTCCAATATCTTTCCAGAAAAAACTTTACAAAATCCATCCGGTCCGGAACTTTCATCAGTTTTTCATATTTCTCGAGAAAAAAAAACTTCTTCTTTATAACTGGTCCCTCAAAATTATAGCCGATTCCCTTTCATTTAATCTGGGTTTGTCATAATCTTCCAGTGTCGCATAAATACTATCATCTGCTTTCATATTCTTTCTTTTTTTTATCCCAGTAAACTTGATATAAAAACACCACAGACTCTGCCACATCTATTTCATGTTTGGATGTTTTACTGACTATAGACGATAAGGGCAAATTAAAAACAAAATTGCATGACAAACGAGATGACTTCCGCTTTTTCTATCGTCGACTTTCCTTATTTATTGTGTAATATCCAGCTTTTCCCTGGTGTTTACATTTCCCAACTTATTCCATACTCCAGAACATGTTCCATGGACGAACAATTTTTTAACCGAAACAGGCAGGCTAATGACAGATAGGTTTATGAGACAGGGATTTCAACAACCTCGTTTAAAGTCAGCATTTCAGAAATTCTATGGTTGTTATAATAACCTAG